TGCCTCATTAATGCTGTTCCATGCTCAAATGTCAAATTTTTGCTTCCACTAAGCTCTTGCTATTCCGATTAGTATGTTTATCAAGATTTCATACATGCCATAACACTTTAGATACTTCATTTATGAAATTCCATTTAAGGGTACGTCTATACTAGCCCCCTAGATCCATCTAGGGAGGCTAATGAGGGGGACCAGAATTGCAAATCAAGCCTGGGATTTAAATATCCCGCACTTGATTTGCATGTTCCCGGCCGGTTGCCATTTTAGAAATTGACTAGCCCGAAGTAACTGTCGCGTCTACACGCGGCAGTAAAACGAGATTCCAGAATAAAACCCTAAATCGAATTAGGTGGTATTCCTTGTGGAATTAGGTTCCACAGTTCCTTTGGGCTAGTCAATTTCTAAAATGGCAACCGGCTGGGAACATGCAAATCAAGCGCGGGATATTTAAATCGTGGGCTTGATTTGCAATTCCAGTTGCCCTCATTAGCCTCCCTAGATCGATCGAGGGTGCTAGTGTAGACGTACCCTTGGAGAGAGAGAGACTAGAGGTAGATTTTTGTTTCTACAACAGCCATATTAAATCACCACACAATGGTGAGTGACAGAGGCTAAGTAGGGGTCTATCGGTACCATGAGAATGTGAGAATCTTGTCATGCTGAGAGAGTAGAAAAATCCCTTTGAGACCTGAGAACAAATGAGCTTCTGCAAAAAACAAGGAACTCACTGACTTGGTGTGGCGGGGTAGCCCTGCTCCTCCCGGAAGCTGCTGGGATGCCGCGATCGCGGGGGGCGGGTCCAGCCCAGGGGAGCTGCCCCCCCGGCCGGGTGGCGAGCCGGGGCCGGCAGGCAGCGCTGAGAGGGGGCAGGGGCGAGCAGACGTGGCGATGACGTCACGGGGAGGCCGGCCCGGGGAGGGGCTGGAGGCCGACGAGGGGGGTGACATCATCTGCCTGTGCCCGGCGGGCAGTTTAAAAGGTCACAGTGTGCCCGCGAGCAGGGGGGACGCGGAGGAGACGCACCCCCCCAAGAGCCGGGGAGCGGACGCCGGTATTGAAGGCCCTGGGCAGGACCGGAGGGGAAGCCCAGGTGAGCCAATTGGACCTGGGGGAAGAAGTGGCCCAGGGCAGGGACACGGACCCTGAGAGCGGGGGAGTTTAGGTTTCTGATCCCCCCCCCCGCTAGGTGGGGAGTCTTTCCCTGACCTTAAGGCCCTGGGTCGGGGTCCGGAGAGAGGGTGGGCCCGGACTCCCTTTCCCCAACCGCCAAGTTGAACCGAGCGAGACTAGGCGCATTGGGTTGCTAATGACAGTGGCAACTGAGGGGGGTGGACGTAAGCCCTTCCGCACGGGGGTGAACCCCTACACGTGGTGGAGAATGTGGGCACTATAGACCCCGAAACGGGGGTCCGGATAGGGAGGGAAGAGTTAACGAGGTGTTGATTGCCAGGAGACGATGGAGGCAAACAAGATCCTGGAGTGGTGGACAGAGACCCAAAAAGTGCAGCAGCAGCAGCAGATGCAGGCGCCGCAACAGCTCCTCAACCAGTTCCAGGAGCGACAGGAGCAGATGGCGCGAAGGGCGCCGGTGACGGTACCCGGGGCGGCCGTAGGAGCCGGAGGGGAGGTCGGCACTCAACTACCCATACGGCTCACTAAATTGGGGCCGGATGACGACCCGGAGGCCTTCCTGGTGACGTTCGAGAGGGTGGCCACCACCGCGAAATGGCCGCCAGAACATTGGGCTACCCTCCTCGCGCCCTATTTGTCGGGGCCGGCCCAGCTGGCCTACCGGGGGATGTCCGCCAGTGATGCCTTATGCTACTTCAAAGTTAAAGAGGCAATTTTGGATCAGCTGGGGGTCACCCCGGAGACCCACCAGCGACCACGAGCCGTGGCCCAGCGGGTAAAGGAAGCGGGGATGAGGTGGCTCGAACCCGAGACTAAGACGGGGGTCCAGGTGGCCAACCTAGTGATATTGGAGCAGTACGTCTGTATCCTCCCTGCGGAGGGGCAGCAGTGGGTGCGGCGACATCTTCCGGAGACCCTAGACGAAGTGGTAACCCTTATGGAGCACTATTTAGCCGCGGAGGGGCCGGAGGGGAAAGGAGCTACGGGGACCCCAGGAGAACCCCAGAGGAGTGAGGCCGGGGCGACAAAGCCCGCGGGAGCCCAGCTTGCAGGGGAAGGATCCGGGAGCTCCCTGGGGCCCCTCCCGGTGAGGAGGCTGGCACCCCAGTGGAGCCGACCGGGCGGGGAAGCCAAGATGGATCGGGTGACCGAGACAGGGCCGGGAACCCCACCGCCCGAAGGGGCCCCGAAGGTAGTTTGCTATCAGTGCGGCCAGGAGGGCCATTACAAGAGGGACTGCACCCTGATGGACTGCACCCTTGGGCAGAGGCACGCGGGAGGCCCGGACAGGAGGGCAGCAAGCGCGGCGCAGGTAATTAAAAGGCTGTGGGTTAACGGGAACCCAGTGGAGGCCATACTCGACTCGGGGTGCAGGCAGACCATTGTCCGGAGGGACGTGATACACCCGGTGCGGACCCGGGGCGCGCCTGTAGCCCTCTGGTGCGTCCACGGGGACATCCACTACTACCCTACGACCTGGGTACGGATAGGGGATGGGGAGCTGGAAGGGGAATGCGTAGTCGCCGTCGGCCCTAAATTAGCATACCCGCTCCTGCTGGGATGGGATTGGCCCGGCCTGAAACGATTCCTGGGGCAGTGGAACAGTGGGAGGAATCCCAGACCGGAGCCAGAAGCAGGGCAGGGGACCCTGGTAGCCCAAGGAGAGCAGGATGGGGGGGAGGGGTCATGC